TCGAATCAGACCTGCGGCCCTTTGCTGCGTGTCATCCCCTCTCTCTGTCCCCCTTTCCTGTCTGTCTTCAGCTATCTCTGTCATAAAGGCAATAAAAGCCCCCCCAAAAAAATAAATAAAAAAACTGGGTGTTGGTTGTTATTAAGTTGCTCTATTACAATTAAGCAAGCCCTATATTATAACAAACAGATCTAAAACTCTGACTACTTTTATAGTTTCGGTAACATTCATGTTTTGTTTTTGTTTTTTTCAGAATGGAAACATTGAGAACCCGTACTGCAACGGCATGGAGGGGATTCTCGAAGCTTACCATCAAAGCCTTAAGACGGTTCAGCTGTATGGACCCACCAACTTCGCTCCTGTTGTTAATCATGTGGCAAGGTACAAGTACCAACACCTGTCCCAGTGAACATCACAGGCACAGCCGTCCTTTCTGTGAAAGCCCATCTGTAAATAATCTTTAGCAGGGAAATGCTCAGAGGTATTAAGACAGTGAGGGATGGTTTCTCTATGAGTGGTGCAGAACTAATGAAGGGAGAATAAACAATCAGCTGCCAAGCTGAGATGAATAGAAATGTAATCATATACAGCGCAGGTGCTACATTGCTTTTTAAAAGTGTGGTGAGAGTTTTAAGGTAAGGTGGCGGGATTGACGAAGGACTTGTAAATGGATTCATGTCATGTACCCTTCTTCACCACTTCCTGATGAGTCACATTGTTCAATAAATTAGCTTGACTGTGAATGCTGTCAATGCTTTAATTCACCATTACAAACTTCCCGTCATTGCAAATGGAACAAGTGTACAAAGTGAATTTGTAGGTTATGTCTACAAATTGGGCTGTACCACATTAAATACAAGCACACACAGCAGATTTGTTGGAAATGTTCTTCTCAAGATTGAAACAGTAGTGAAATTATAAAACGGCACAGGTGTACACTGTCTCACCCCCCGACCTCGGACTCAAGCTGGTACTGAGTTCCCAGTAATGATGACTCATGACTTGGCTTGGACTTGAATATTAATGACTCACACTTGGACTCAGGTTTGTGCACTGAGGACCTGAATTAAAATTTTAGATTAGATTTTCAGCATTTACCTGTATTTCTGGTTTGTTAACAATTACCCAATGAGGTAACACATTACTTTAACTCCATTGAGCTTTTATAAGTATAATATAAACATTTAATACACTGTAAATAGATATAAAGATGTTTTATAGATATAAGGATGTATTTTTATCAATGTATAGTATTTGTAAACGATTATAACTTACCTTATGACATATTTTATATTATTCATTATTCAAGTGTTTTACTATAATGTCATTCATTATCTGTTTATACATCAGCCCACGCTATTTATAAATACTCATATTTGCTTACAGCTATAGCTATATTATAGTGTGTTAAGAACCATTTATCAAAAGTTTATAAACTGATTATAAATGCTTGATTATGAGCGTTAAAGTAAAATGTTATATGTCATGAAAATATGTCTTAATATTTTAGTTTTGTCCATGATGGAGTGAAATTGATAAGTTAAAGTCACAATAAACTAGGTTTTACTATTACAGATGTAAATATGAAAATTCTGTTGCTTCTTTAGGTTCAGCTTAAGTTAGCTTTATGCTAGTTGTTGTGTGTTAGTTTGACTGTTCTGTATGCTGTAACACAAAAATACAACAGAAGAATATGCTTCCACAAATTCACATATACCCCATCCATCCCTGTTCACTACCCACACAGACACATAACTGTGATAAAAAAAGAATAAAGAAGTCCCCCTGCAGACCTCTTTTCGTGATTTCAAAGAATAAAAATGATGAATAAATAAAAATCACGAGCATTTGATGCCCAATAAAAAATGTCACATTACGGCTTCAAGTAGTCTGGGTTGAAAGCAGTAAGGGACTTTATGCATTTATAAAACTACACTCTCTACAGTCTCTCCTTGCCTAAAGGTTGCAGTATAACTAAGAGTGTAGTAAAACTCAAATACTGAAAATTATTCACAAAGATGTTGCAGACTATTAGAGTGCCTCAGCTATTCAGTACAATTGAAATAGGTCATCCAGTAAACCAATGATGAACAGATTCAAATGAGTCTTTACACCACCAGAAACAGAGCTTAACATTGGATGTTGAGCAGAACATGCAAGTCTTCTTGCACTGTAGGTTTTGCATGTTGCACAAGCAGAAAGCCGGCAATGCTATTAAATGGATAAATTAATACATACTTAATACTAGATGTGCAGTATGATGTTAAATTGTTAATATGTTTAATGTGCTAGTTCTATATGGTCACCTATGAAGGGATCTATCTATAATACAATACTGTGTTTGGTGCCACTGATAATGTGGTCAAATGTCTCCAGTGAGTGTGGCTCACAAGGTTGAATGGCAGATGAGGAAGGCAAATGTCTCTTTAATCCCTTAAATACCCGTCATTGCTCTTGCCTTTGTCACTAACTCGGTACGCACTTTGATTAAAATGTCGGCGCCTCACAGTCAAATTTAAACTGAAAGTGAGAGGAAGGGGCTGACCTCTGACCTGTCCTTGGTTCTCCCATGATCTGCCACGTTTTTTTCCCCTCTCGTTCATCAAGTCTGTGCTTATCAATCGAGTGCTTGGAAATCAATGATGTTCTGAAAGAATAAGACTGCAGCACTTGCATAAACAGTTTAATAAATTATTCATAGCCAGCAGCCAGCGATGGGCGATTGAAACTAGGCCACACTCACTGTGGTGTCTCTGATGGGTTTCATAATAGTGTCTGGATAGACCTCTGAGACAGAGCTATACAACATACTTTACTTCTTTACGTGCCTATATTAAGCTTTTGTGTCACATGCTGGGCGGAGGGGGAGTTTGTTTCAGAAGATTATGCTTTTTAATGTTTATTTTTTTTAATCTCTGACACAGTGGTTGCTGCTCTACTGCTCTTAGATTTCCTCTCTGGTTCTAGTTTTCTTTAAATCCACAAACATCTGCAGACGTCTGCATCTGTCTCCAACTTTGCTTTTCTTTAACATAGTCTGTGAGTCATAAATCATTCTGTTCTGATGATTTCTCTGTTTCAGCTATGCGGCAGCAGTGCAGGACGGATCTCAGTACTTTGTCCTGCTCATCATCACAGATGGCGTCATATCAGACATGGCTCAGACGAAGGAGGCCATAGTGAATGTAAGTGCTGCTCTAACGCTAACCTGGAGGATGTTCATCTCTCTCTCTCTCACTCTCCCTTCCCCTGCAGGGCACTGACATTTCAGGTGCTTTTAGCTTACTGTGGCACTTCTCTCAGGCGTTCTGTTACTTTGAGGGGTTTATAAGCCAGTGGCACTAGATTTGAGGATTTATGGGATGTTTTCTGCTCCACTTGTCTCAGCCCATGTGCTTGGGCGCTCTGTTTGTCCAATATTTTTCCTTTCTATTGAGACCCTTGGGCAGCTGAGGGGCTCAGCTGAGATTCACTCTCAGGTCAACAGGTTTACTTTATTAGAGGGAAAAGTCTTATCCAGTGTACCATCTAAGGCACCTTTTTTGGTCAAATTTTAAAATATCATTGTGTTTCTCTTGCGCGTCGGCTGTGTGCTGCATATTGTTTGTGTCATTCACAGTGGGAATATAGCTGCAATGGTAAAACGATCAGTGAGTTATCATCGCCCAGGTAGACCCTTCACAGCGACACGGTGCTCTGACCCCCAGCAGACTGGGTTTAAAGGGAATTTGCGACTGTTAATCAAACCATTCGAACAGCCACACCTTCCTTTTAAGATCTTGTCTGCTGCTCTGCACTGCTGAACCTGCCGTGTCCTGCCGCCACCTCTTGCCTCTCAGTTGGGACCTGGCTACTCTTTCCTCTGCCCACAGAGCAAAAGACTGAATGACCCGCCTCACCTGGCATTTAGCCTTCGTCCTGAGAGGAATCATAATGAAATAGTTACGTACAATGCTCATCTCTGCACTTTTGGTTTCTTATTTGTGCTCTCTGATCCTGTGGTGTATTTTCAGAGATATGTGAATAGTACTGCTGCTGACCAGACTGTTCTGTAATGTTTTATCTGTTCTTTAAACCAGCTTAGTCCCCTGTGACTAATATGTCCACACATCTGACAGGACAGCATGGGGGGCCATCTTTGTTGTCATCTTTGATGTTTTGTTTTTTTTAGATTCAAATTTAATTTTAGAACTTTAAATTATAAAAGAGGGTCTTTCTCTGACCTGGTAGGCTAAAATATAAACTGATTTGTGCTCAGGTATTAGATTATGTCTCTGGTTGTTTGTTTACTGTCTGGATGGAAGCCCCGTCTCGACCAGTAACTTCATAAAACCCATGAATATTTTAGAATCTAGAGACACTTACCAAACTGCATTCTGAATCAGCAAAGAAAAAGTTGAACCTATCTGGCCATCTTTAAAAAAGTAAAAAACAATTTAATAATAAGTTGTACTTATTTTGTCATGTTATTTCCTATTTAACTAAATTCAAACTCAAGCCAGCAAGGTTTAGAATGAACTCTGTCTGTAGAACCATCGGCCTCTTTATCTCCACATTTATTACAAACTCTCGCTGTACAGCCAAACTTTGTTTAAACCTAAAGAACCGAGAGTTTACAAAGATACAGATATGTCAGACTTTATTTGGGGTAAATGTGCATTAAATTATGCATGAGACATCTAGATTTAAAAAACAAATGTAGATCACTAAACTCCTCCACGACTCTATTTTACTTGGAAATATGTCACATTACAAAACCTAAAGACGATCTAAATACTATGGAATAAGATCAGATCTGAGTCCATAAACTGCTTCATTGTGACTTTAAAGGACCAGTGTAGGATTCAGTGGCGTCTAGCAGTGTAGTTACTCACCTTACCCTCCCCTTCCCCTATTAAGAAGCCAGTGTTTGTCCGTTCTGGGCTACTGTAGAAACATGGTGGCTCAACATAGCAGCCTCTGTAGAAGAGGATGCGCTCCCTCTGTAGATAAAAATGGCTTATTCTAAGGAAGCGAAAAAACAACAATTGATACCTTTAGGTGATTATGCACTAATAAAAACATATGTATGAACATTATATTCAGTTTCTGCCAATAGATCTTCATAAATGCTACACACTGAACCTTTAGGAGGAAATTAACTGGGGAAATTCCAAAAAAAACATCATTTACCAGTGACACAGAAATTATTTTATTACCAATCTTCTCGCCTCTTTGTTAATGTGACCAACAGGGCAAAAAAAGTTGGAATAGTCCTTTAAATATCAATTATAGGTTTATTATGAGAAGGTATCTGCTATCAGTCTATGTTTATTGTGGTTCTGTGCGTTGGTGGAAGAGAGTATGTGTTCAGACAGACTGATGGAGTGAGATCCCCTGAGTGACTTTACAGTAACACAGTACAAAGTAACAAATGGTGTAGAGTGAATAATTCAGCTCTGGATACAGAATCTGATTTGGCATTTATAGGTACGTGCTTGTGGGGTCTTGTGCTGCAGAAAAGGGGCAAACAGAATGTATGTATTTGGTGAGAGAGCAAGAGGTCACGAGCAACGATCCTGTGGAGGGGAAGATAAAATGAGAAAAGAGATAGAGCTAGAATAATGATAGTCCTCCTCCTCCATCTATTTACTCCTATCTGTGACAGGTCTTTCCCCTTGGGAGGTTTTTCCAGGAAAGCTGACCTACTTTTACCCCTGTAAATGCATTTCTATCACAAGCATATATCATTCATTCATGCCAGAGCTTTCACATTCTCCACATCAGGACTGTGGTTTAGTTTCAAGCAGTGGAGAAACCTGTACACCTTAAGTTGTTTGGAAGATGAGCCTTATTCAATCTTTACTTTGTAGGTGTAGGTTTGGTTTCAATTGTAGTTAAATAGGCATTGGCTTTTCTGTTTTGATATTAACAGTATTTGAAACATTTCTATCTGTAAACATCATGAATAAATAATGTTAGACTGAGTGATGTAAGTGTGTCGGCTGAAATAATCATATTTTATGAATAAAGTTTGACTTTATTCATGTTTCTACATTTTTTTTTTTTACTGCTGTTCTTCTTATTCTGCTTTTATTTGTGAAGTCCAGAACATTGAGTAACCTTATGTACTCACTTGTTATTCGACATTGTAAAAGCATCCTCTAAAACATGTACACCGTGTAATAGTTTGCTAAAACATTCTGTTTTATGCTGGCTGTTGTAACAACCTTGGGGCCCCTGAGTTGAATAATGTATTTTGTACTTTCTGTCAGTACCTGGGCAGCCCAAACTATGCAACATAATATGATATGAAACACGGTCAAGACACAGTTATGATGCTATGTAGCATTTCTTATTTTATCTTGCCCATCATTGTTTCTGTCTCTGGCGTCTCTGGAGAACTGTGCTTGCAGATTAATACTGACTGTGCAGAATGAGTGTATTGTGAGAAAAATACAAATAACTTGAAATGTAACCCCTCCATACTAAAAAGTCTGATTTTTTTTCTTCCTATAAACACAGTACATGTGTTCTTCTAGGCAACTGAGTGACAACTGACTGTTTGTTCTTCTTGTTCATGACAGGCGGCTAAACTCCCCATGTCTATCATCATTGTTGGAGTTGGCCAAGCTGAGTTTGATGGTGAGAATAGGGAACTGTGGTCTGTTTGCATCAGGGATTATTTGTTGTATTCAAGTGTGTTCAGACTTGCCCTCGAGCATAACAACTACTGTACATCTTCATCAATTCACAGTATGAAAATATTATTTATGTGAGATAATTTTTCATACCGCATCTTCTCTCTGTAGCCATGGTTGAGCTGGATGGTGATGACATCAGGATTTCCTCGCGGGGGAAGTTAGCAGAGAGAGACATTGTACAGGTGAGGCGTTCCTCATGTTTTGTCTCACTCTCAGATTGTCATGGGATAATTTTTGTCCCAGTAGTATTTATACATACAGTATAGTAGTAGTAGTCTATACATGGTAATGTTGATTGTTTGTTTTATTACAAAACAAAATGTCTCAACAACTACAAGCTACGTCGTCTTGAAATGCGTATAGTTCAGGTCCTGAGATCATCATCCTTAAAGATTTCCTTTCATCTTGTGCCGCTACCAAAATCTTTATTTGCACATCATGAAATTTAATTTGATCACATTATTGCTTCACAGGGGGTAAACCCCTCACATTGTGGACACTCCACAAGTTTTCTTATCCACACTCAACGCAAAATGTCGTCTTTGTACATAATTTATCAAATGGATGAATCTCAATTATGTACTATGCATGTTTTTCATCCTCAGACAATGAACCCCGGTGCTTTGTGGTGATCCCTTGTCCTTTACTCTTGCACCACAGTCAGACTAAAATGTAAACTTTTCCAACATGAATTCTCATGATCTGATTGGTGAGTGTTTGCAAAATTAAAGGGTAAACTCTTGGCCACTCAACTAGCAACAGCGTCAGGGAAACTTTCACACTTACTCATCTTCGAAGCATCAGTACTGGTAATATTCTAAAGAGTTAAAGGACCAGTGTGTAGGATTTAGTGGCACCTAGCAGTGAACTTGTAGTTGCAGATTGTAATTCACTGAATAACCGCTCACCTTCCAAGCGCAAAGGAGAAACTAAAGCAAAAGCCCTATCTAGAGCCAGTGTTTGTCCATTCTGTGCTACTGTAGAACAGAAGAAGGGACACACTGCTTCTGTAGATAAACACGGCTCATTCTAAGGTCGCAGC